GAGGAAGCAGTTTGTGCGCTTAACAATTCCTAGACGCTTCTTGCACTAACACTTCCTTAACACTTCTTTGTAGCACCTAATAGTTTACCCCTCAGTTGCATTTCTTTATACCATCACTCAAGTCTTTGGATGGTCTCGGATAAATATGTGTGTAGGGACGGCTGCGGCAGCTTGTTTTCCCTTGTTTTCCCCTCTCCCTTTCTGTTCCTGCACTGTGCTAAAGAAAAGGGTCTCACAACTGTTAGCCTAGTAAAAGCCTGAGAAACAGAGCACATAAGGGTATGCTTCTACACCAGCAGTAGATCATCGTGTCCCCAGCCGTGTGGTTCAGAAGGCAGGAAAGTTTCCACCAGCTCTGAGACACACCAGAATTTAGTATTGGGAGTACGAGCATCAGCATACGATGCTCGGGAGTAAATGAAGCTGTATGGGAAGAACGCCTGTTGATCTTTTTGCTGTGTTTCTCTGACAGTCTGACATTTTTACCCCTCCCTACAGAACAGCCTGACCACCTGACTGCCAGAGGAGCTGCTGGAGACTGTTTTGGAGCACATCCGATTGCTGCTGCCACAAGGCCCAGCCCGCCAGCCACAATGTACTGCCTTCAGTGGTTGCTACCTGTCCTGCTCATACCCAAGCCCCTCAACCCAGCGTTGTGGTTCAGTCACTCAATGTTCATGGGCTTCTACCTGCTCAGTTTCCTTCTGGAACGGAAACCTTGCACGATTTGTGCCTTGGTCTTCCTGGCAGCTCTATTCCTCATCTGCTACAGCTGCTGGGGGAACTGCTTCTTGTATCACTGCACAGGATCCCAGTTGCCAGAATCAGCTCATGATCCCAGCATAGTGGGCACCTAGAAAACAATCTTCCAGTCTGCTGAGGGCTCTTACTTTGCTTTTAAAAAGGGGGTGGGCTAGGGAGGAGGGAGGGGGTGTTAGGCATGTGACTGGAGTAAAAACAGCCTGTTTCCTGTAACTTTGTGTGGACTAGAGTGGTGAATTCCTCCCACGCTGCCTGTGAAATTCGACTTGTTTACTGTGTGAACTCTGGCAGCGCCACCTGCTTTTTTAGAAGCAGAAATCTTTTTTTTTTTTCCTCCTTCCCGTATCACTGGGAATGGACACCAGCCCTCCTAGCTGAGAACTGGTGGAGGACCGAGTGGCTGGCCTCTGCCCAGCTGTTGCACGGTGGTGGAGTTGTGTGTCACTCACTTGTCTGCATTAGGCCACGGTGGTCTAACTTAGGGCTCTCGACCCACTGATTCTGCTCGAGTAGCTACAAGATTCTCTCCATCTTTCTCTTTGTGGGGAGCCAGCCTTCCCACCTTGCTGATCAAGGGCAAGCTCGGCAGCTCACAGATGCACTTGGCCAAAAGCTGCTGGAGCCAGAGGCAGTTGAGTCATCTCCTCCTGCTCAGCCTGCCAAAGAGACGTGTGCACTGCCGAAGTGCTTTCTGAACTACTTATACTCCAAGATTATAGCCTGAAAGCCTCAGTTATGCTGCTGCTTTTATGAAGCCTCACAGGTAGTAGCAACTGTCTCTTCCCCTCCTCCTAGGTTTCCAGGGTTTACCAAGGTATTGACTGTTGGGATAAAGAACCGGTATGCTGCAAGATGTGAGGTTTTGAAAGCCACTGTGAACCTCACCCTATAAAACTCATGCTAGCCCAAAAGGCTGGGTGTGGGCAGGGCGGGAGAGGATCCCAAGGCGGAGGCATGGCTTGGAGCAGTAAATGCTTCAGCTATTTTCAGTGATAGTGTTTTTGGGCCAGGGGTGACAGAAGGTGCTGGTGCTACTGACTGGAAAGGGAGGAGGCTAGAGGAGCTGCCTCCCCTGGCAGAAGGATGTCAAGAAGCCTAGTGGGTGGTGGGTCAGTCCTACAGCCACAGCTGCGCAGAGCTCCACGCTGCATACATTACTCTCTGCAGCCATGGCTCTTGGGGAGCCCAACCTGGGGCAGAGGTTTGTTTGTGAGAAACCTTAGAGGTTAACACAAAATACTGTCTCTAAACTTTAAAGGGTTCCCTCCCCTTTGCCATCTGTTTGTCTTTACTTCAGTCTCATAGTGGAGAGCAGGAGAAGTGGCTGTTGCTTTCCTGAGGAAGTTCAAGCTATGAGGTTGTGAAACTTCCAGAGTATTGTTTGTTGATTGCACAGCTGTTCAAAATGTTTAATAAAGCTTTATAAACTTTGGCCTATGGCCTCCTGCCCAGCATGATGCATTGGCTGTTCATTGTGGATGCCTTAGCCCAGCAATCATGTGTCTCTGTATTGTTCTGTTCCCCACACAGTAACCCCGGAGAGTCTCCAGCGAGAGGCAGAGCCTGTTTGCCCTGTAGCTCCCAGTACTGACTCTTCTCGTTAACTGTTTAACCCGACTGTGGGCAGACTGAGAACCATACTGCTGATTCCTAAACAGACTCATTTTACACACAACACAGGAGGTCGCTTCTGGTTGCGTTTGCACTTACGTGACAGATTCCCCCTTTCCTTACCACTTATGAAGTTAAACCACAGAGCCATGTCCTGAAAGCCACTAATCCCCAACGCACATCCCACAACACCGGATCTTCCCGACCTGTCCCCCTGCTGTCGCGGGGACCAGGCTGCAACCCAACTGCTACGAGCCATCCAGGGGGAGAGTCAGTTGTGTCAGCCCTCCCCAGCTTTGGCCATGACCCCATGTAGTACCAGGGCGAGAAGGGGGACACTTGCTTCCACCAGACACGGGACGATCAGCTCCGAGGGCACCCAGGAGCACCTCAAGGAGTAAAGGGCCAGACATGGGACGATCAGCTCCGATGGCACCCAGGAGCACCTCAAGGAGTAAAGGGCATAGGAGCTGTACTGCTGGAGCTGAAACTGGCTTCTGCTACCCCTGCTCTGAAGCCCTGGAGACCAAGTCCAAGTTCGAAAGGGTTCAGGGCTTATCAGTGTTTACATGTTTAAAAAAAGTGTGCGACATCACCGAGAATAGATACGACAGCTCTGTCACCTGTCAGGCTGAGGGAAACCCCAGTAGTTGTCATATCAGCTACAGCATAAAAAACAAATAAAGGAGAGAGGAAGGCCTCTCATTTGCAAGCTATGGCAAGACTGTTGTCTGCACTCTGAGCAACTTTTAAGTTTAATTTTATTTAAGCTAATGCAGTCAGTTCTTTTAAGAGTACGTTTTTGTTGCTAACTAGCCAAGTTGCACTCTACAGCAATTTAAATAAATCCTAGCCACGAAGCCAGACAGTCCTTTGGACAAGAGCAAGCCCTGGCTTTGTACATGGGGTTCACGAGAAGACGCAGCTGCAGGCTTTCGTTTCCACGAGACCCGACTTTGAGAAAACACTTCAAAAGAGGGAGGCTGCTGGTGTAGGGACAGGAGAGATCTCGGCAAACTGACGTGTAAGGAACCTACTTTTTACAGCCCTCCCACCCCAACCGTAGTTAAAGAGCACTCTTTGATATGCACGCAGCCCTCACCAGCACACCGTCTTACCCTCTTCAGGGCACTGAGATACCATCTTCGTTTTAAAGATAGAAAATTAAAGCAACTTCATCATGGTCAGACAAACAGCCTCAGGCAGAGTGAGGAAGCCAACCAGGTCTCACATCCCATGCTAATGCCTTCCTTGTCCTTCTCTATAAAGAGGCCATGAAAAACCAGCCTGCAACTGCAGAACAGGTCGAACCCGATGACTTTTGAAAAGCATCATCACAGCTTCCCTGCTTGTGCACCGCAAATTGGACTGAGCCTGTACAGATGCAGCACTTGTGTTCTCGGGCAGGTGTTTGCTGGCTACGCAGAAGAAAGCTCAGAGGAGGTGTTTTGCCCTGGTCTCAGAGAGCTGCTCTGCCAGAGGAGCAATGGGATGGCTCTGTCCCCTCGTATCCTGGAGGCACCGAGGGGTCTCTGCACGGGGACCACACCAGTGGGCCGGCACTCCAGGGGGGTGGCTACACTAGTGACTCTGAAAGCAGTGGGGTTTAAAACAAAACTGCTGTCTTGTGCCAGGTCCCATCAAGCCTCGACACTGCCTGCAAGGGCTTTGGCGCAGAGCGAGTCTCATCACCTTGCTGTATTATAAAGCGTCCATCTGCCTGGTGCTCCCTAGATACAGGGAGCAGGAGCCTTAAGCTGTTCCTTTGTCTTTCCATTTGAAGGAGAGAGAATTTTTTTTTCTAGGTCACATAACAGATCAGTGACACAGCAGGGTCAGGAAAGGGAAAAAAACCCAAACCCAGGCTCATATCCCTAGAAACAGAGACGCAGCGTAGCTCAGGCAGACCTCGGGCTCCTGACTGCAGCCTCGGGGTCCGGGGGCTTCTCACTCCCCTCCTCACCACTCGTCAGGGGAAGGCAGCATTCCCAAGATGTGCAACTGGGACACCACAAGGATTCCCATGGAGAAGGTTTGGCCATAGTTGCCAGGCTGGTATGGCTTTTCAAACACTAGATCTGCTGGAGATCCGTGTTCGTGCATCTCATCTCAGGGGCTGATGTTTCGCAGTCGAGCTCCCCGGCATCGCTCAGGGTGCAGGTAGGGAACCAGCCTGCTCTCCCAGCGTCTGCCCGTCCATCCCTGGATCTTGCCTGGCAATTAGTGCCTCCCACCTGGATGCTCTCCCTGCTTACCCTGAGACAAGTCCACAACATGGCCCTATTAACTTAGCAGCAGACAGAGAAGACAGGTTGATCCCAATGAGGAGCCGTTTGGGCTGGAAGCACCCACCAGCCTCAGAGAGGCAGCTAAGTCCAGAGGTGCGGCCCCGCTGCTGATAGCACCGGCCTCCCACGGCCTCCAACCTCGTCCCCTTGTGCTGTTACCCTGGGGCTGGTCCAGCCAAACACCCAGGCCAGGGAAGCCACAAACATCACTCCGGGCCACCGAGAGCCCTGCCCTGCCAGTGCCCTTTGGTCTTGCCTGTCTCTTGCTCATTGCAATGGAGCCGTTTCCTAGCCTTCAGCGATGGCGGGAGGTAAGCTACACGTCAGGTGAGGACTTTAGCCCTTCCCTCAGGAGCCTGGAGATTAACCCTTGGCAAGAGGGTTTTGCTACTTCTCCGAGCAAAGGCAAATCCTCTGGTAGCAGGGCAAGGGAGAACGGATGGCTCGGATGCCACCCAGACCTGCTGCTGGAGGGGATGAGATCTGCAGGGGACAGAGACAGGCTTTGTCCTCGGAGTCGACACGTGCTGGCAGCCTCCCGTTCACCCCTTGCTACCAGCGAGCAGCAGGCACAGCAGGGGCTGTAGTGGCATGGCCAGCAAGACCAGAGAGCCTGGCACTGGGGCACAGCCCCGCTGTGAGCCAGCCCTTTAATGAACACCAGCCTGCTCCTGCCCCAAGAGCCCTTCTGCTGGGTCTGGGCTATGGGAGAGACCCCAGACCCGCAGCACAGCCCAGGATTTGCTCCAGGGGTTCCCCAGCCCATGGAGCAGTTCAGGGCTGCCCTCCGCCTACTCACAAGCATTTATCCTCTGGGAGCCTGGGTCAAGAGCCAGGACTCGATGTACTTTGGGGTGCTACCACTGAGCTTTGGGGAAAGCGAAGGGAATGTTCAGGCCAAACAACAACTCATCTTGCCATTTTAGAAACCCACTGCCAGCACAAACTGCCCAGCACAGGACCCCTACCTCCTCACCAGACCTGCTGTGGGGGCA